ATAAAGAAACAGCTTCACCTCGTGCTTTGGTAGGTAACATTTTAAGTGGAAACACCTTAAAATCTGTTCGTACCATACCGTAAGTGCATTGTTGCCACCCTGTCACATTTTGAGAGAAAGTACGAATCGCTGTCCAAAAGCTTGAAAAACAATGCTTTAAAATTCTCGAGCTAAAAGAGTAGAGGAACATGGACATTTGGGGATATTTAAAAAAAATGGGTCAAAGGAATGAAATTCTCTAGTTTGTTCAAGCCTACAGCAGAGAGCAGGTCTGACGTGACTAGCTCTGTTGGGACACTCACAGCTGACTGTGTAAGATAGTGGGATCTTAGCCAAGCACTATAAGGTCTCTCAACGTCTGTCCTTCCCTCTCATCTGATTGGCCCAGGAATCTATGAGCAGAACGTTGGAATGTGCTGGTTAAATGATTAGTGTAGCAAATGAAAACATAAGCCATGTTCTTAGCATACCAAAGTTGTGTACTGTATTGCATTTCTCAAGGATGTTCTCCAAATGTTCTAGGTCGTTTTCTTAATGCCTTCTTTTTTTTTTAAACAAGTTTTATTCAATTTTTCACATAAAAACAAAAGGCTCTTTTTAGTGGACAACATATTTCCGGATCATCACTTTTACATACAAATTTGACAATAATTATACATTCATATATGCATACTTAATTCTATTATTACCATTTCCATTCCAAATTTTCAGAAAAGAGAGAAACAAGCAAATTAATCCTAATCTCTTACATTAATCTCAATCCAAACATCCTTTCATTTCAATTATTTCAAATATAATCCTTTAATATTTATTTTAAGAATAAAAATAACAATATATGTTTGACAAATAAAAAAAAGGTTACCAATGTCTCTCCTTCCTTTTAATAGTCTGTATTAGCTTATTAATTTAAATAGTTCTTTAATCGGTCATATTTTCTTTTCATCAGACATTCTTTCTATAAATTCTAGATTAATACAAGTTTTAACATGAGAAAAAGAAACAAACTTAGGTTTCCCCCCTTTTACTGCTTTGAGTGTGACACCTCAGTGGTTAAAATATACCTTTATTCCCTCATCTTAATTCCCAATAAACCTTTATTTTTAAGTAGTTACAATAATAGTCATTGCATCTTTTCATTTGGATTCCGCAATATATTTTCCCCTCTTAATTTTATTCCTAATTTCAAAAAGGTAAAAGGGAAAAATTGACTATTTAATTCCTGGTTACTAATATTGACCTCATTTTTAAACGTCTTCACATTCATTTCAATTATTACAATTTTTTCAATAAACCTTAACTTTTCTTTTAAAGATAAAAATAAAAATGTATATTCATCTAATAAGATTTATCAGTATCTATCCATCCTTTAATAATCTATATTACCCTATTTTCTAAGTATATTTTAATTGCAAATATATTCTTGTTACCCCTTGTCACCCTGCAGAATCCCCTTTTTAATTCATCAACAATTATCTCTTAAAAAACAATTTCTTTTCATCATTTTACTATTTCCGTGTTTCTTTATTTCCTTTTGTTTTACTGCCTCTCCTCCCCCTCTTTTTCCCATATCTTTTCTCATTCCAGTTTATATCCTTCTCTTTCTTGATATCTTCCTTTCCCCTTTTCTGCTGCACCTTTCTACCTCTCCGTATTTCATAGGTATTCCCCTTTTTGATTACCTTCTTAAATCTCAACTTTTTAGCCTTCCTTCTTTCACCTCGTCTTTGTAGTGTTCTTTGTGTTAATTGTCTATTTAAGATGGCTTCTCCTTGAGCCGACTCCTCCTCCCCTGAAGTTCTTTCTTTTTGTTCTTCGATCGCCATTTCCATTTCTTCTAACACAGAACAAAGTGATTCGCCTCTTTCCTGTAGTAATTCTCTTATATTTTTAAGTTCCATTTTTAATTCCCGAAGAGATATCATCATTGCACACTCTTATATTTTATAATTGTTAAAGTCCACAAAAAACACTTTTACTTTCCTTCTTTCTTCTTCAAGTTTTCTAAAGTTCTCAATTGTTCCAACCCAGGGTCTATACCAAAAACATCAATCAATCCCGCAGTCAGTCTTTCCTTGCTTCTTTCTTTGTTCTGGTTCAGCTTTCACTTTCTAAGATTCTTATTTTGTTTCAATATTTAACATTATACTGACACAAGTTCATACAGAAACAGGATGATTTCCCTTTTGTTTGAATTTAAGTTTTTATCCAGAAGATGGCACTCTCCATTTTACAAAGTCTTCACCTTTCCCCCCTATTTTATTATTTAGGGTTTTTCAAACCTCATATTCCAGAACAATCCAGTCTCCAATTTGTAAATTTTATTATTATTATTTTTTGACAATCTTAAATCCAGCTTTATTTTATGCCTATTTATTGCCAAAATATTTTAATCCAATTTAATTAAGTCTTTAATTCCAGCTTCTTCCTTTCCCAGTTTGAAGCCCCGCTTAGCTGTCAAAATTATTTTCTTTTTTTTTTCCCCTGTCCTTTTGTATTTTTGCCGCTCACTTTTCTTTTCTTAAAAGTTCCCTGTTACCTTAATCCCGGGGTCCTTTTTGTTTGGTTGTTTCACCCAGTTGTCCCGGCTCAGATGTTATCCACCTCTTTTTTCACTCCTGCACAAATCTTAGTCCAGCTGAGTCCTCCTCTTTGGGGTGGCCATTTTGGACCACCGCTTCAGTCGTCTTCGGGGTGGCGGGGAAAGACCAAACCCAGAAGGGGAGATGTGGCTCCCCTCAACCTGGCTGCTGGTTTCCCCTTACTCCACCGCCTCTCCAAGTCAGCTTCAGCCCCTAATCGCAATGATCGGGGCTCTCCAATGAAAGAGCATGGACCATAGCCACAGACAGTCATGATCTATGGTTCGTCAGCGAGGAGGGCTCAACCCGGCTAATGCCTTCTGATGTCTAAATCTAGAAACTGGCTATGTATTTTTTTGTCCTGTTCCAATCTTACCTTTCACTTGTTTCTCATACAGAGGAGCAGCAGAGATCCCTAATTCCCTGGTACAGAACCAGAGTAAAGTTTTAATGGGAAATCAAAACAAGAATCCAAATTAGGGCTTCCTTCTGTTGAATATGTACATACCTCACCATTAGTAATTTAATTGTAGTTTATTATTCCAAATGGCTGGATTCTCATGGAGTGCAACAGGGGTCTCCTTCCCCTGAAAACAACCTTGCTTGGATGCAGAAGTAATTGCAGTTCTACATATTTTAACTTAGAACTTTTTGATCATGCTTTGAAAATAAGGAAAAGTTAAACCTGCTCACTATATTGCGAGTCAGTGTTGTTAATCTTAATTCAGAATCTTAAAGCTTCAGGGAAGCCATAACTGTTTTCAAGCTGTTCTCTTGAGTCTAGCTTCTTCAGATGTGATATATCAGTGTTTTGCTAATTGGAAGTAGCAAATAAACATGCTAGTCCTATGATTTTAAATTTCTGGTTCAAACATAGTTTTCCTGACATAGAAAAAGACTGATAGAAAAGTCTGCAAAGTATTTGTATGTAAAGGTAATCCTTGACTTATGACCACAATTGAGTCCAACATTTCTGTTGATAAGCAAGACAGTTGTTACATTTTGCCCCATTTTGCGACTTTTCTTGCCACCGTTTTTAAGTGAATTACTGCAGTTGTTTAAGTTAGTAACACGGTTGTTAAGGGAATCTGGCTTCCTCATTGACTTTGCTTGTCATAAGGTCTCAAAAGGTTATAGCATGACCTTGGGACAGCACAATCATCCTAAATATGAGCCAGTTGCCAAGCAACTGAATTTTGATCACTTGATCATGAGGATGTGGCAATGGTTGGAAGTGTGAAAGACGATCATAAGTCGCTTTTTCAGTGCTTTTGTAATTTCAAGTGGTCACTAAACAAATGGCTGTAAGTCAAGGACTACTTGTCTATTAGGTTAAAGCAGGGGTCTTCAAACCTGACAGCTTTAAGACTTGTGGAATTCAACTCCCAGAATTCCTCCTCCAGTCATGTTAGCTCAGGAATTCTGGGAGTTGAAGTCCACAAGTCTTAAAGCTGTCAAGTTTGAAGACCCTTAGGTTAAAGTATGTTAAATTTATAGAAGCAAGTTCAGAGGAAAAGTTGATCCAAATCTGAAATGTCAAACTCTTTATTTCCTGTGGTGGGGAGGGGCGGGAAGGAATTAAGAAGAACCCCTTGGCAATATTCCGTTAAGCCATAATGCCAGTTTGGTGCGTGTTAACCTTGGTGCTTTGTAAATCATGGTTTCTGGCTAAGCCTCAACAAGCTGAGGTTAAAATAAACCAGGGGGACTGTATGATATATTAATACAATCATAGTATCAGTTCGCAGGAAAGCAGATTTAACTCGAAACATGCTCTCTCGCTCTCCTCCACCCCCCCATGAGTCCCAGGTGAAAGGACAACGTAACCTTACCAAGGCTATTCCAGATTACATCACCTCAGAGAGAAATTGGATCAGCAATCCTGTGTTGCCTTGAACTGATCACCCTACAAACCTCAGCCTGCCAACACGAGGGCTTAATAAGAAGCCAAAGCATACTATCTGCAAAATAGGGTGCTCAAAATTGATGCTTTCGGGGTGTCTCCAACTGTTAGCATCCATGTGCTTCTCTAAACGAAAAGCTGCCTGTTGGGTGACACTTAGCTCAAGACACTCTTATGGAATAGGTTTTGCAGTCTATCTCTCTCCAAAATAATAAAATCCCCACAACCACATGATAGGAGACTTAATCTAGAATTAACTCTTGAAAAAGGGGTAAAGTAATGCAAACTGGGGCAGGAGTGGCCACAAATCTCCATCCCAGAGCAGGCCTTATATTATCATCCAAGCTTTGGAGAAAGGAGATTGAGCTGTTAATCTGACAAAAGGACCAGAACAATTCTTGGAATTGAGTTTTTGTATAGGCAAGGAAAGTCTGAAGTCTTTGCAACGGGGAAAGGGTCCAGATGAAGGAAGGAATATCCAAAAGAGCAAGATCTGCAGCAAACAAAGCATGAGAAGTTGGTAAGAAGGTATAAAAAATAGAGCATGCTTTAATTCCAAAGTCCTCAAATTCTAGCAGAAATGAGCAGGCTTTACGTTATATTTTACTGGTAATGGAGGGTTGCTTTAGATTAGAAGGCAATCAGAAAACTTTTGTTTACTTTGAAATAAACTGGGAAAGTAGAATGGTGTTTTCCCTTTTGCTTTCATTCATTCTTGGTTTCCTTCTCTCTGTATTGGAGCCCAATATCCTATTACAAGGAGGAGAGAGAAGGAAGGTGGGAAAAGCACAGGAGGCAATTAGATCTGGGACAATATTTAATTGCATGAGTTCAATACAGATGGCATCCCTTCCTGGATCATTAGAAGGTAGAAAGGAGATGCATCAATAGTAAGCAGTAGCAAAGTAGCTGTTTAGGGAGAGCAGTATTCCCTCATACCTGGCATGAGAATATATCAGTTATCACCCCTAGCAATTCCATTTTTTTCAGAAAACAAGATAACACCATTGTTTGTTCTTATGAGGTTTCACTCTTTCAGAAGGAATGCACGAAGCATCTGGGATTCTCCTGGACACAAAGCTCTTGCTGGAAGAAGAAAACATTTGCCTAGCTGTTATACCAGATGAAGCTGTTTCTGAATCAGGAAACTTGGGTGACCCTCTCATCATTTCTCATCTTGATTACTGTTGATCTGCTTTCTTTGGGCTGATCTTGAAGACTACTCCGCAATTACATCTGGTCCAAAAGGCGTAGTTGCCAATGGTCAGTCCCAGTTCATGTCCATCTTGCAGGGACTTCATTGGTTACCAGTAGGTCTTCAGATACAATTCAAAAGTGCTGTTTATAAAGTTGTAGAGATTGTGTGTTTGAAAGAGTGAGAGAGATAGAGAGAGAAGAATGTGTATTGTGTAGCGATAATTGGAACTACTGTGAGATTTCTGTCAATGCTAAAAAAATAATAATCCAGACAAGAAATTTCTTGCAGTGTTTGAAGGAAAGTGTCATCCCCCACCTCCCTGCTATTTCAATAGTGTTTTAATTGTTACTTCAAAAAGTGTTTTAACTGTTACTTCAGTAAGAGTTTTAAATTGAATTTTTAATCTCAATTATTATAAAATGTGGTTTCTCAATCTTCTTGCGCCATCTGCTGACAAAATAATGTACTAACTCTAAAATAACACACAGCATATAAAACAGGAGAAAGATTAATACTATTCAATATAGCCTGCCAAATCTAAGCTTCAAAATCCAGTTGAAAATTAGAAGGCAGCAATGAAGTCAAATATTTATTGCCATCTTCACTGGGTGAAGTCACTGGGTGACTTTAGGCCAGTTACTCTTTCTCAACCCAAGCAATCTCACAAGATTGATGTTACAGAGAAAATTGGAGGCAGAAATATTAGATATGTTCAATGAGTTGAACAAATATACATAAAAATGAGAAAACAATCCGATCAACATCTTCTACTTAGTAATCTATTTATTTTTGCATATCTGTTAATTATCGTGGAGAAAACCTTGATCCATTGAAGAGTAAAGAAGATGCTGGGTGATTCCTGGCAATCTTTTTGGTATGGTAGGCCTGAAAAGACACCACTGATACCTCTGGAACTTATCCCAATATCACATGCTCTTCCCAGAAAACTATTGACATGAAAATTTTGAATTCGTTGCTAATCACCATCCAGTCTCTGAACTTAATTGTGGTTGTTTCAAAATGACAAAGCTGAAAAATGCTATATCTCTCAATTTGATTTGACTTGATTTGATTTGTAACCCGGCTTTAATATTTTTACAAATAATTCATGGCAGCTAACATATCCAACATGCCTTCCTCTTCCTATTTCTCTTTGATCAGTGTCAGAAAGCAACTTTAACCTGGTACGTCCATCTTACTCATGAGGCAAGGGTGAGATGAAAGCAAGATCATTATGCCATAGCAGGATAAAAGAGTGTTTGCAGGGCTTGTTTATACTATGGTTGCCACGTAAAATGCCAGTTTTTTTAATTTTGTACTAAGAAATGGACAGAAATTGTTCTCAAAATAGGCATATCATAGTTTAATAACAATAACAAAGGATCCCTCTGCCTTGCATTTGCCTCAGTTCTGCTTTGCTCTTGTGTGATTTTGCCTCATACACTCTGCAGCTCTCATTTTGCCTTATATACTCTGCAGCTCTCCATTAGATGTTAATGGATTCTTTGTCACCAGCAGTATGACTCTTGCTGTAATGGGACCTGGTGATTCTACATAATTGTTTTTTAACATTTGGGAACTTTAAGATGTGTGGACTTCAACACCCAGAATTCTCTAGCCAGCAACTCTCATTCTGGAAATTGAAGTTCACACATCTAAAAGGTGCCATCTATTCTAGATGCTGCCAAACTATAATTCCCAGAATTTCCCAAACTTTCTAACAACTAGGAGAATATTGGAATTGCTGGGAGAATATTGACAGCATTTGGAAGACCATGGCTCCTATAAATACCAGGAATCATACAATATAGTGTGCAATGAAGTATCCTGTTTTGCTTCAAGACTGGAATAAAATTCAAGAATTTCAGGGGTTTTCACCCCTTCCTGTTTTCCCAGGCTAAGCTCATCTTTTAGTAATAGTTGCCACAAATCAAGGTCATCTTCATATTTCTCTAAACAGATACAACATAATGTTATTTTACATATTACAAGAGAGAGAGAGAAAACCTAAAATAACTGCACTTTTTTGGTAATGTCCAGTTTAATGTAATTACTATATTGCACATATTTATACATTTGAATGTAAAATAAACATTATTACATGCAAAAAATGATAAACACTAGTGGTACTGGGAAACAGCGGTTTGTAGCATCTATGGTTTCTGTAGCAGAGTCATGGGCAACCACCAGGGACTGAGAAGAAGCAAAAGCAAGCAAATGCTGAGACATTCAGCAAATGCAAGTTTTCATCAAACATCATGATGTAAGTAGTCCATTGCCCCATCTCCATGATGATAACGGACCTGTGATTTTGGTTATATATGCCTTGTAACAGATGTTGCTGAGCCCAGCTTGGGATGGATGGTGATTGGGGCATGTGATGTGATGATGGGTTCAGGGGGTGAATTTTGTAGTTTTTACTTATTGCAAGGAACCCTGGAACTTTCAGATTCGGGATTCCCCAGATGTGCCATTTTGCTATCCAAAGAAAACAGAACTTTTTTAGAGGATGTCTGTCTCGGAGTTATTTGTTGGAGTGGAGGTTTTCTGGAACGCTGACACAAAGTCAGTGAAACAAGACTGATTTATTGAACAACTGTATGATTCACTCAACTGCAGTGAACAACTGTGACAAAGAAGGTAGTAAAATCAGGCACAAGTCATTTAGCAATTGCCTTGCTTAACAATGGAAAGTCTGATCCAACTGTGATTGAGGACTATCTGGACTCTACTTCTGTTTGTGGAACAAAATGGTCTTTGTGTGTGTGCATGTCACATCTTCATGATATTAAGCCTCAGCTGATATTTTTCCTCCAACAATAATCTCTGTACAGGTGGTGAGCAGCATGGTGGCCTAGAGGTGGAGCTCTCGCCTCACAATGAGAAGCCTATGAGTTAGATCCTAGGTAGCAGCAGATATTTCTGGACACAAAGAGAAAATATCTGCTGCAAACTCTGTGAAGGCATCCGGAAGGGCATCCGGCCAGTAAACGCCCAGCTTCATTAAATCGCCCCAACTCCACCCCAATGTGAGGGATTACAGGGTCGTTAAAAGAAAACAAAAAATCTCTGTATTGGTAGTCCTCAACATGTGACATTATTGAGCCAAAGTTTCTGTTGTTGAGCAAGACAGTTATTACATGAGTTTTGCACCCTTTTATGACTTTTCTTGCCACAGTTGTTGAGTGGATCCCTGCAGTTGTTAATCCCATAGTTGTTAAGTGAATCTGATTTCCCTATTGACATTGTCAGAAGGTCGCAAAAGATGATCACATGACCCTGGGACACTGCAAGTATCGTGACTATGAACCACTTGCCAAATTTTGATCACGTAGCAATGGGGATGCTGCAATGGTCAAAAGTGCAAAAAACAGTTATAAATCACATTTTTCAGTGCCATCGTAACCTCGAACAGTCACTAAATAAAGGTGTGTAAGTTGAGGACTACCTGTACACTGTTTTAGTATAGGAAATGTCATGCCCCTGGTGGAGACTGACTCTAAGGGAGAGGAGGAACATCCAACAGGGAGTGGAAGTGTGGCTCCAGAGGTTATGGAGGAGGCTGGGGAAGGGCAGAGGCCAGCTGAGCAATACAATACAGTACAATTTACTACAATAAATTACATTTTGATTACACTTAAAGGACCAGCACAAGGAAGGTGGGTAGAGTCAGTTAAAAAGCATAGAGAATACATCAGAGTCCAACAACAAAAAGGGGTAAGAGCATTGGATGGACCTAGGGGAGCATAGAAGTTAGCGTGTGGCAAATTAAATCTCTCACAGTAGAGAATTCTTATCTAGTACAAGAAGCTGGATGCTTTTAAAGACTATAGCAAGTCTTTATAGCGCATGTCACTGATGAATTTAAGCACTTTTGCGCAGAACGTGGCAACATTATAGATCAAGGATCTTCAAACTTGACAGCTTTAAGACTTGTGGACTTCAACTCCCAGAATTCCTGAGCTAACATGACTGGAGGAGGAATTCTGGGAATTGAAGTCCACAAGTCTTAAAGCTATCAAGTTTGAAGACCCCTGTTATAGATGTTGTAGCTAGTTAGTATCTGAAAGCAGCAGGGAGGTTTAGAATTGTCCCGTGCACTCTGGATATTTATGTAATAATTGTGAGATGAGGCTAGTACAAATGTCTTTGTAATGCAGACACCGAGTAGTTTGTTGTTTCTGTAGACCATGTGGAGGGGAGAATTGTCTCTCTGGATAGGAAATCTCCTGTATTGGTCTTCAAGGACAGCTGAGAGGAGGGTTTCACATTGTGCCAGAGTAAAGGCCCTCTAGTGCGTAGATACTTTGAGGTTAGTGAAGGGAGGCAGAGTGCCAGTTGGATTCGCTGTTAATAAAGATTGGAGACTAGGCTCTGTCCAATTGATGCTCTGTGTGTGCACACTATTTAATTACTTTATTTGGCCTGGTGACTGTAACGCTTCCCCTCTTCCGGTGCCTGTGGTTGTGAGAGAGACATTAAGAAGAAAAGTGGCCTGATTCATTACGACAACCGTTGATGTTGCCTGGTGATGCAGGATCCTTGATGATGCAGCTTTTTATGCTGCATTTCTTGTACATTTTCCTACAAGGAAGGGATCTGAGGATCTGAGGAGGAAGGCTACGTATTTGGTGCAGTGGAAGGAAGAGGCTGATGCCCAGGAGTATTCACCCTAGATTCTTCCCACCCAATTCCTTCCCACTCTGTTCTTCCTCTCCATGTGCCTTCTGACAAATTATCCACATAAATGTTTCTTTGGGTTAAACAACTGCATGTTCAATCACTCAATTTGTACTGCTTCTTTCTAGCCTAACACGCATGATAGGATCTAACCCACCACTTCTGTCAGTGGCTGGGCAATAGGATGTCAATGGATAGCTATGTGTGGCTAGCCACTTCCTTCGTCTTCTTTGAAGCATCTTCCAAAAAAGAGAAGGCAGATGCAGACCTCATGTTTCTAAACACAACATGGAACCATCTGCTTCAGGTGATTCTCTGCCTTGCCTCTCTGTCTCCTGCTGAAGCTCCTAGAGAGAGAAGAGAGAGAGGAGGGGAGGGAAGAGAGGAAAAGTTAGTTGTTATAGCATGCGTACTGTTTTAATTTAAAAAAAA